TCCAAGTCACAGCCTCTTAACTTGTTCACCAGTATGGGGTGGGATACCGTATCGAAGGCCTTTCTGAAGTCTAAGTATACGACATCCACCTCTCCTCCTGTGTCCAGGCGTTTCGTAACCTGGTCATAAAAAGAAACTAGATTGGTCAGGCACGATCTGCCTGCCACGAACCCGTGCTGGTTTTCCCTCAGCATAACTTGTCCTGCCGGGCTCTCACAAATGTGAGCCTTGATAATTTTTTCAAAGACTTTGCCAAGGATGGAGGTGAGACTGACTGGTCTATAGTTGCTCGGGTCCTCCTTCCTCCCCTTTTTGAAAATGGGGACCACGTTGGCCCTTTTCCAGTCCCCCGGGACTTGGCCCGTGCGCCACGAGCTTTCAAATATTCCCGCTAGTGGCTCTGCAATGATGTCAGCCAGTGCCTTCAGCACCCTCGGATGGAGCTCATCCGGGCCTGCCCGGAAATGAAAGACTCTTCTCCTCCATAGAAAAGGTCCAGGTTTTACAGAGGTTCTGAGATATTGCCAGGCAGAATGATTTTGCAGTGGCCAAAGCTACTTTCATAGCCCCTCTATATATCCTTTGAAAATTAGATTGGGGGGAGGGGCATCAGGGGGGCGGGTTTCCCGGGGCCGGTTTGATGTTGGCCCGTCCACCTGTCTCTAGGTTAACCGCCCACCTCTTTCTCTTGCCACTCCTCGATGATAAATGATTATGATGTTACTCAGGCAGGAGACTTCCCATTTAAGACCCCGATGACCAGGGTTGATATCCCCAGCTCCGAAACTTCCTCTTCACTGGGGCCCATGCCTCCCAGATGACATCCCAGGCAGCTAAGCTCTCCTGTAACCCTTCTCCCTCTCTGCCTGTAGTCCCCTCTCTGGGACCTTTGACTCTTCCTTAGGCCCTGGCCCCACCCTCAGGCCAGTTGGGATCCTGAGCCTCTTGCTCTGGGCATCACTCGCAGTGGGTCACTGGCACTTTTGACACCTCCCTTGGGTCCTAGTCCCAGCATGGACCAGCGGAGGGTCCATCCAGTCAGGTCTGAGCCAGTTGCCTCTTCTCCCTCACAACTCCACTGGATCAAACTGAGCCTCAGGCATCTCAAGGATCTCACAGGCCTGGGCTTTCCCCAGTCAAGACTGCAGGGGCTGGAGATTATCAAGCGTGCCCTATCTGCCATTCACCACGGAGGTTCATGGTCCTGGCACTTCCTGGGGCTGCTGCACCACCGGCAGTTCCACCAGGCCTCTCTACCCTGGCAGGGTGCAGATTTAGGTCATGCCCAGGCCCTGGGGCCCCTTTCATCCCATAGCCCCAGCCCATATACCTCCAAGTTGTTCCTGGCCCAAGGAGCTCAGCAGGGAGATGTTGTTCTCCTGCTGGCTGGTCTCAAACTGCTCCCCTCCCCCCCACCCCGCAACACAGAGAGAGCTGGGCATTAAATGGCACAGACACCTGCCATCTCCCTGGCCTAGGCCTAAAAGTGGCAGGCACCAACAGTGCCCTGCCACAGGGGGAGAAGAGTATTTACAGCTGGATCTCAACAATAAATGGTGAACCTCTTTGACTAGACTCAGGACTGAACAGATACCCACAGCTGTTTTGGCTGGATGTAGACTTCCATTCCAAGGACTAAGAGATGTTGCCCAGCCTGTCTAGGAGTTTTGGAAGACACTATTCATTATGTCTTAGAATGTCTTGTATATAATGACATAACGAGAAAGTATTTATCACCGTTCTTGCAGAAATTGACATACTTCTTAAATAGAGAGAAATGAATATGGCTTCTCCAGCAAACATTCATATTTAGTAAACCGTCTTGCAATTTTTGCTTACAAGGCTGGAGTGGTCAAATTTAATCATTCCTTTACTGTCAATATGACCAATAAACGTTATCATTATAGTTGTTTTTTACTGTGTTAATTGTGGACCTATGCACATTTTTATAGATGCATGATCTGATTTATCACCATATTTGTACTTGATTATGTTAATTCTAGGAGTAGGAATAATGTTTTTATAATACTTGGCCCTATTTCATTATTGGCTGAGGCAGCTTGCTCCAGGATCATGGTTGTCATGGGTGACTTCAATTACCTGGACATCTTGTGGGAGGATCGCTCAGCAAAATCTGAGCGGTCGCAGAGCTTCCTCTCGTGCGTGGATGACCTCTACCTGACTCAAGAAGTCTATGGGCCAACGAGAGGCAAAGTGCTGCTCGACCTGGTACTGGCTACTGGGGATGACCTAGTC